CGCCTGATTGAATATTTGTATACCATAATTGAATATAGTTTGTCAAATGTTGATATCGATATCTGCGCGTAATTATGTATTTAGATCTAGTGTGAAACAAGCTAGTACTTTTTTAATGCCGAGAACGCCGTTTAATTTATTTTTATGTAACTTATATTTACTGGATATTAAACTGTTTACTAGTTCTGGTAGCTTGCTTCTAAACTGGCCCTGATAATTAATTAACAGGAATTTATTATATTGTTATATATATATTATAGAAACTAAACTATATATATATATATATATATATATATATACTGATGAATACAATTTATACGTAAAATATTGAAAGAATAGGATCGGAAGGTCAAATCCGATTGAATCGTTATGGAAGCTTGCAATGCAAGAAGCTTCTATTGTAATGCATGTCGCTGCAAGTATATTGAAAACTGACATCTGTGCTACATGAGAATTTTGAGCGTTGATTTAAAATTCAGTCACTATTCAGGGTTATTAATCATTTATCGTAATTTTGATGGTCTTTTTTTGAAGCATTTCTAATCAAGCGTAATTTTTGATACGTATTAGCAGTTAGATCGAAATGTGTAATACATACGTACGACTAATTTTAATTTAAGGTTATATAGTATGATAATAACATCCTGATTAATAATTCCAATCATCTACACTTTAAATTTATTTCGTACAGGGACTCAGCTTTGAAAAATCTGATCAGAGAACAGGAACATGACACTCTTATTGCCGCCACATATACATCTTTAAACTAGTATATACGTAAATGTTTACAATAATGACAAAACGGCTGTGTTGTATAACTTTACATAAAAAAGATAGCAAGATGATTGGATATATATATAGTATAAATTAACTGTTAATAACTGATAAATTAATTAATATTTTTAATCGTCGGTGCCATTTGTAATAATATTTCAACAATAATTGCTGATCATTTCCATTGTCATATTTCCTTTTTTATTAATACGTGTCATAAAAATAGATCTACTAAAATTTATTATCGTTATATATTTATCTGTCCTAATTAAGTTTCCCCTGTTGATCTGGTTTTGCAGACAATCAAACCTCTAACGCTAACCCCAAATCAATTTTAAATTCGCTATATTAATAAAAAAACGAAAGAAGCTTATAATACTGTATAATTTATCTTTTCTTATATCAGATATATAATAACATACTAAGAGTAAATTTACTACAAAGAGAATTGTCTTTATTAATATTGTTTAAATTAAACCACGTTCATTTAAGTACAATCTAGTAGAAATGAAATACCTTTAGCAAAACATTCACGGCCACCTTGCTTTAATCGGCAAAATATCAACGATATACCTGATACTGTATATCGATTTTGTATATCTGATGATGTTAAAGCTATGAATATCCGTGAAACGTTACATTCTCAAAAAGTACAGTAAAACATATAAATTAGTTACCCGGGCAATTGATTTACACCAGCCAATCAGACGAATTTCTTCCTATGAAATTATTGCTCCGAAAGATGAATTAACCTATTGAAGAAATATCATTCTGTAGGTAAACAAATGTAATTAAGGGTTAAAATCATTAACATAGAATTTACCTCATAGTTTAGGTTAATCGTTAGCCCAAAAATTTTAAAGCCAATTAGATTGAACGGCTAGACACAATAACTGTCAAACTATATTCAATTATGGTATACAAATATTCAATCAGGCGTTTATGAAACGAAGGACAAATATATATTATTAATAAAATACTTTTTAACCATACTGAATTGAATGCATAAAATTCTAAAATTTTCATTTTTTTTTACGTTTATTTCATTAAATTTTCTTCAGTTTAAAATAATATCAGATGTCTCATAATAAACATCATAAAATAAGAAGAAGATGTCAGCAGGTGGATACTTCCAATGAGGATAATCTACCATATTTATTTAGATGGAAGGGCTCTGTTACCCCAAATGTTATATTTCAGACCTTATTCGTTACCGCTTTCGCGGCCGCTGTGACGTTAGTATATACCAAAACAAATATTAAGCCTAGCATTCCGCAAACATTCATTCCGGTGCTTGGTTTCGTTGTGGGTCTCTTACTTACCTATAGAACAAATACAGCTTATGATAGGTAATAATAACTGTTAAAAAAAATAAAAATAAAAAAATTCTTTCTTATTCATGCAACTCTTCACGTGATGCATTCTCTCTTTTTTAATCTATAGATATTGGGAAGGTCGCAGAGCATGGTCTTCAATGGTAATTGCGATTCGAAATTTAACACGATACATTTGGGTAGGTGTCAAAAGAAAAAAATCAAAAAATGAATTGGAAGAAGAAGAAAAAAATAATAAAAGGAAATTTATAAAAGAAAATGATGAATTAAAAAGAAAATATGAAGAAATAAAAAAATATGAAGCTGACGAATTAAAAAAAGAAAAGGATAAAATGAAAAATGATGAATTAAAAAAAGAAAAGGATGAAATGCAAGCTGAGGATGAAAAAATCTTGATAAATAAAAATATTGAACTGGAAAAAAAAAAAAAAGAACTAGAAGAACTCATTATAAAAAAAGAAGAAGAAAAAATAGAAATAGAAAAGAAAAGCGCTGTAAGACTTCTTATAGGATTTGCATTTGCTGTAAAACATTATCTACGTGAAGAGGAAGCAAGCGAATGCGATGATGTTCGACCTTTCATTTCGGACATAGAATCAACTTTACCGGGTTTTGAAAATCTAAAGACTCAGGACGAAATTGAGAAAAAGATCGCGATTGACAATAACAATTGTCAAAAAGGTCCGACATTGACCCATATTTTAAGTTCATTTAGTAACAGAAAGGAGCCGCATCAACGTGGAAAAGGAAAAGAATTGGAAATGGAATCACCTAATCATAATCTTCCTTTAGAGATTTCTTTATATATTTCTGATTATGTTACAACTCAATTTAGGGAAGGGAGAATTGGTGTGCCAACAACTAATAATATGTTACAAAATGTTAATTTGTTGATAGAATGTTTGTCATCTTTTGAAAGAATTTTGAGAACACCAATTCCTTTGGCATATTCTATTCATTTATCCCAAACCGTATGGATTTATTGTCTCTCCTTACCTTTCCAATTAATTGGTGTCGTTGGTTGGGCGACCATTCCTATTGTGTTCTTGGCTAGTTTTGTTTTGCTTGGTATCGAAAGAATTGCTGCAGAGATAGAAAATCCTTTTGGTTATGATCCGAATGATTTAGATTTGGACGGTTTTTGCGAGTAATTATCGAATTATGTTCAATTAAATTACTAATATTATAACTCATTAATGTCTTACTCATTTTTTATTAATAGAATTATCCAACGAGAACTCGATATCATCATAAAGCATTCTCCACCAAATGTTGACCATTGGGTATACGACAAAGGAAATCTTGATGCTATTGAAAATGCGGATAATGAAACTATAAGATCTGGAGAAAATAGTGTTGCTATTGATTTAGATATTTTTAAATAAAAATATAAGATCTGGAGAAAATAGTCTTGCTATTGATTTAGATATTTTTAAATAAAAATTTGACATACTTACAGTATATAGCATTGTTGATAAAATAAACATTATCTTTTATTATTTATTTTGTTTCTTTAAAAATATGTTAAATAAAAATCATAAAAAGAATGAAATTTAAATAATAATTTATTTTTGGTTAAATTGTTACTGTAAATTAATTTGCTTATTTTTGACTTTTTTTTGCAAACCTTTCTATATTTAGTAATTTTCATAAAACTTTATCTTTTTATAAATATTTCGGGATCTTACTATTACCTACTAGCTAGTTTTCTTTTTGTATATATTACTAGGATGCTTGTTTATACTTTTCTATTTGTTTTTTTTTTTATTTTTTGTATTAGAAATATTTTAAATTTGGTAAAGCCAATTCTTTACTACAGATCACTTTATATTTATTATTTTGTTAATATTTTAATTCTAGTTATTATATCAATCAAGATTCCCAATACTATCTTAGAGGTTGTTAGTATTACTATATTTGTACTTTTAAGAGTTTTTATATACACAGCTTTTGTATAATAGAATTTTTTGTTACAAACTGCTATTATATATAATGCTAACTTCTTTGCAATAGATTTTTTTTTAGAAATTCTTATTTTAAACTTGTATTTTATTTAAACTTTCTATATATTATAATAATATAAATATAAAATTGGCTAAAATTATTTTTTATAACTATACAATTATATAATATAATATCTTTATATTTTTTATTATAACTACAATAGTAATTTTTTTTTTTTTTTTTTAATAACTTTGTACTAGTTTTATTATAATGTTTGCCAAAGCTATTACAATAATATATATTAGACTAATACCTGGCTGCTTTATTTCAAGTATCCAAGTATGATTATTATACTAGTGTAAGCCAATAGGTTTTATATAAAATGCTACCTCTATTTAAAAACCTACTATAGCTTAGTACTTAGCTACTGCATTAGGATTAATTGTTTATCTTCTAATTCTTCTTTTTTCTCAAAAGGTATAAGACAAAAGGGGAGTATATAATAAAAAAACACAACAAAAATGACCAAAAAAAGAAAAGAAATACAAAACAAGAAAAATAAAACATATATTTTAAAAAAGAAAAAACATTAAAAAAAACAAAACAAAAAAAATATTTTAATGATAATATAGCCATAAAGGTCTAAAAAATTATATAATACTCTTTAATTTAGTCTTACACTAAATTCAGTTTACATTATATTTAAAATTATCAGATAGGTTAGCTCTATAAAAATTTTCTAGAAACAACCTCTCTACTTTATATTAATGCTAGTTATTGTTCTACATAGAGACAACTTGTAATTTCTCATAACTTTTGTTTACCTTCTAATTTGTAAACCACCTGTTATCATAATTAGAAGTTTCTTGACCATGGTTTAGAAAGTAAACAATGCAGATCTTTTGGAGGGGTATGCCAATTCTCCTATTTTTTACTTGTTAAAAATATTCTCAAAAAAAATCTAAAAAAAGTAAGAAAATAGTAAAGATTGTTGAAGTCATAACCTTTAAAATTTTCTAATGAGTATGCTAAAAAGCTTATTTGTTATTCTTTTTTTTTTTTTTTTTTTGGTATTAAAATAACCTTTATGGTTAGAAACTTTTTATTAAATTATTAACTTCAGGTTATAATTACAACGAGAGTATATCAAGCTACACATGTACTTTTGATATCTAATTTAAATGGTCTGTCTGGGTTTCACACTAGCTGCCATACCTGCAATCTAACTAGAAGATTACCTATTTAAGCTTTTTGGTTATTATTAACAAGAGTACAACTAGCTATATATGCAACTTTTGGTTGTCTATTTAAGTAGTCTGTTCTAGGTTTCACACTAGCTACCATACTTGCATCCTAACTACAGAGATACCTGTTTAAACCTTCTAGTTACAACCACTATCCATTCCTAACCTAACCAAGATATAACTCACTATTCATATATAAATTTTGCAACACCTATAGATTTCACACTTACCTTAAAACTTCATAACCATTTCTGGCTAATCTTTATTCACAAGGTAAATCTAACAGAGTAGTCCATGTCCCACACATGTTTTTATCTGCATGTTTGGTAACTTCTTGCCTAACTAGTACCTGTTAGCTTATTTGTTATTCTTTTATTATCATCTAGAGATACTTCATTAACAAAAACTGCCTTGTATTTTTATTAAAATTTCTTATACAAGAGCCCTATTCTTTACCAGTTATCTTGTATAAAGATGTTTTTGGCTTGCATATCAAATATATAAAAAAATCTCTCCTAGAGCTATAGAGTTAATCTTTATAAAAATCAATCTTTAGCTATGTAACTCTACTTGTTTCTAACAATTTTTTGCCTTTCATTAGTTAGAAAATTTTGATGCAAGTAATCATTAAGAAGAGTTTAATAACTACAGTAGTAATAAACTATTTTATTGTAGATATAAAACTTATACATACTGTAAAGTTTTAATATAAGATTATAAGCTCTTCAAGATAAGAAGAATTTGTAACTAAGTTTATTCCAACCTCTCCTCTAACTCAATCTTTTTCACTATATTTACTATTAAATTTATTGAATTTACCTGATACAAAATTTAAATTAACATTATCTTTGCTGCTTTTTAATATATTCTTAATAAAAAATTTACTATTTATAACTTTTAACATGTTTTCTTTTTTAAAACATTTTTGTTTTACTCTAATTTTAAAAAATTCAGCAATATTATCTGTCATATTAAACACTTTCTTTTATCTAATTTTTCTATTTTCTTATACTTTAACTTTACTATCTCTTCTTTTAACTAATCCCTTAGTTTATAAATACCTTCTATTTTTAATTATCACTCTTTTTTTTTTTCTTAGATCCTTAATACTAATAATGAAAAAAAAAACATCTGCTATATCTATATTAAAAACATTAAAAAAATTATATAATAGATTAATAAATCTATTAACAAAAGATATACAAAACTCCAAACTTACTCTACTTTAATAATTAATAGTATTTATAACTACTGTATTATAAAGATTCTGTTAAATTTAACAATATCAAACTTAACCAAAATATTATTACTAATTCTCTAATTATCAAATTATATATCTAATAATACTTTAATAACTAGACTACTTTTTAGAATATTAATTATAAAATTTTTTAGTTTTAATAGCTTAATGAATACAACTTTAAACTAAATATTAATTCTAACTAGTATTTTAGTATTTTATTAGACTTTATTTAAAAAAGTATATAGTCTTTTACTAAATATAGCTAATTAGTATAAACAAATTTAAATAGTTTTTTGAATTAGATTTTTATATAAATTTAGATTTGGTAAATTTTATAGATTATAAATTTAAAAACAAATACAAATTAGAAAGAAGTTATCAAACATGTAGATGAATATATATATAAACCATATGCTACTCTATTAGGTTTATCTCAAAAATAAATTAGTTTTAGAGTGGCTAATAAATGTAGTAGTATTACAAAATCTACATATAATATAATAAGTTATATCTCATATTAAGTAAGATAGATAGTATATTGTGATTAAAAAATTTAAATAGATAATCTATAGTTAGGTTGCAGATATAGCAGATAGTGTAGAACCTTCAGGTAGACTACTTAAATTAAATATCAAAAGTGCAAATATGACTTGATATGTTTTTATTATAATATATAATATTTATACTTATTTAATAAAATTTTGCTAACTCAAGAAATCATTTTTAACTAAAAAAAAAATAAAAATAAAAATAAATTATAAATTTAAATAACTAGATTTAAATTGGATTTAAATTTTTAAATTAAATCTGCAAAATACTAATAAAAACAAGATATATTTTAAATTTTAGTTTAAATTAAACTTAATTTAAGCTAAAATTTAAAATAATAAACTAGAATTAAATTGTTATATAAAAAAAATTTAAATTATATAAATTATATTATTTATATATTCAAAAAATCAAATATATTTTCACTTTTACTACAATATAGATATTTTTAAATTAACAAGTTATAAATATAGTAGCTAAATTTAAAGCTATATTATACTTACAATAATAATCTAATATAATTAGATAGTATAAATATATATTAAATTAAAAATATATATTAGAAAAAAAATAAAAAAAAGAGAAAGAGAAAAAAAAAGAGAGAAGTTAATATTTTTTATAATATTAAATTTAAATACAGGGAGGTACCATATTATTATAGACACTTTTGGGATCACGGTTTCTCAGGATTGGGTAAGTAAATGTAGCACAAACTTTATGTCATATGACAGGCATATCTTACGGTACATCATATTAAAATTTTATATGATTTCATTGAGTTAAGCAAAAGTTATGCAAAAAAAACTGCGGACTTGGTTTTCTTTATTGGGGCAAAAATCTAAAATTTACCTTTTTTTTTTCAATTTTTTTTTTTTAAAAAAAATCCAATCTAATTTTATTTTAATATTTTATGGGTCTCTTTAGCTTTTATGCAAGCGGCAACTCGATCGGGCATGCTGGTGATTAACCGTCGTATTAATTCTGGTGGTATATCAT